TGCTTCCAGTTCTAGTTCTCAATATTGTTGTTCAACTTGATTATGACTTGATGTAATTCAAGATTGCTATTCTAAATTGGTACTGAAAGATATTAACACGCTCTAACACCTCTCGCTTGCCAAATTATCTAACCAAAACACGCTCTTTGACTAGACCTAGCTTTACTAATTCAACCTAAACACGCTCTTAGATTGGATTGAAAAACTGCATTAAGTTTTATACAAGCTTCCCAACAATGTTCATTTCTTCTCATACGCTCGGAAGTGTGAAAACTTGTGATATATGTTTTACAATAAGAAAACTTATTGCTTGTTACCGATTATTAACTTAATAGAACGATTAGGTGCCCTAAAAGTTAATTAACTACACAAAAATTCAATTCATGAAAGTGGCCAATCAAACACAAATCAAATTTAAGGGTTCTAGTTTAAACAAAAACATAATCACTAGAATAGAATCACAAATAAAACATCAAATCATATGCTTCAAGTCAAGCAATCAACATGTTTTGAACAAGAACTAGAAACTAGGGTTTCTTAGCCACACATGACTAAGAACAAATCACAAGAACTAAAGATGGAAAAATGGGTGATTACAACTTACAAAATGTTAGAAATAATGTTTCCAAATGATTATAGATCAATCCCTTGCAATAACCTTCGAATTCCCTTCTCAAAATATGCTCTGATATGTTGTGTGTCCCCCAAATGACCCAATTTCCCGTAATATGAAAAATAGAAAAACTGCCAAAAGTTAGTTTTCTTGGGTCGAACACGGCCCGTGTTCAGCATAGGGCAAAAAGGACACGGCCCGTGTTCAGCTTGGTCAACAACTTTCCTTTTTGGTCAACACGGCTCGTGTTGATTTTGCAGTGTAAATCCAACACGGCCCGTGTACCCTTCTGACTCCGACTCCCAACTTGATTTTTTCAACTTTTTCGTTCTTCGCCCGATCGTCCCGAAATCTTTACCAATGCTTCCCGGCACCTCCCAAAGCGCATTCCAAGCTCCGGTTTCCCTGAAAAAGACATGAAAGTGTGCAAATAAGGTTGTTCTAGAGACTAACATGAATATGATGAAATGCAAGAAAAATGAAGAACAATTATGCTAAATAGATGCATGAAATGGGACTAAAAGGTGTGCAAAAAGGTGCACAAATTGCACCTAACAATATTCTGTTAGTAATGTACCTCTTCAATATGTCAACTTCAAGAAGGGCCCCGACATGCTACAAATATGAGGTGACATTGTTTTCAAAAGCGAATAATGAGAAACTAAAGCCCTACAACACGTTAATAATCAATAACAAAGATTTGCTTGATTCAGGTTAACATGAAAAGAGGAAATGTTTGAGGCGATGAGGGATGTAATGCATTCTTAAGTCGGAATTTGGCTATCACATTTTATTCTGAATAAAATCGTACTCATAATGTTCTTATCGAGTTTCTAGAGGGGGTTTTGACATGGTTTACAAAGATTAAAAAAATTAAAATTCTAAAAATACTTGATCGGAAAATATTATCAATTCCCATGAATTAAATCGATTCATCCTCAATCATAAAATGTTAAAACTCAATGACATGGGGATAACAAATATTAATTGTATTTCTTAAATATGAAGAACAAGAATAAAAATCGTGATAACATCGAACGATTGATTGCTTCCATGCGTATAATAGATCATAAACAGTTTTGTGAGTACAAGAATTATAATAACGATACATTCCAACGTAGAACGATACATAATATATTTAAGAAACAAATTCTACCATCCTTGACAAAGAAATTTTATATATTTAGAGCTTTTGAATAATCCATTTCAATTCTAAAACAACAAACATGTAATGATATAGAAAAATATTAATCTATATAAAATATAGGAGTATAAAATATATGTTTTATTGACTTATACTTTATGCATAGATTAGATGATTTCTCAGATACCAATGGGTTTTTGACCTATCGATAGAGACACTCTTAAATGAAATGGGATGTCATAGATTTAAGTCTCATTAGAAACATAAATGGTTTTAGAAGTAGGTAAGTTTGGTGGTTTAAAATAAAAGATGTTTTCTCAGATCACCGTTAAAAAAACGAGTCCTCAAATATTTCATAAGGTCGTCCGGTATGGTTGCAACGGACGGGTTCGTGGTCTAGCTGGCCACGAACCACGACCATGCACACCATCGGTGGCTAGTGGTGGTTCGTGGTCGTGAGGAGCCGTGGTCGGGACAACGAATGCAAACGGAAATTGTGATTGGGTGCCACAGTAACGGTCATATTTAGGGTTAAAATCTTTTTTTTTTAATTTTACTATTTAAACAACATTAAATCACTTCTATAAATACCACACTTATTCATTCATTTTACTCACACAATTCTTTTTTCTTCTTCTCACAAACACACACTTCTTTTGCTTCGTAAACTCAAAGTCAATGGCTCCTAAAAGGATGAATTGGTCAAAAAATGAAGAAGAGAACTTAGCATTAGCATGGGTAGCTGTTTCAGAAGACCCAGAAATACCTCCTAATTTTTGGGTAAAAGTTGGAAACGTTTTCCATGATTTAATGGGTTGTCAAAGTCGTAATCTTGATGAAATATGTTCCAAGTTTCGCAACATGAGGGTAAAATGCCTTAAATTCAATGAGATTTATAATTTTGTTATAAACAACGTGGACGAAGCCGACCCGTTTGTTGTGGTCATGCACCAATATGAAGACACGAAACACACGTCGTTTAAACACGTCAAAGTTTGGCGAAAATTGAGAGAGTCCCCAAAATTTAGTCATTAAAAATAACGGTTTAAAACTAGTTTAAGTTCTTTGTGGTTGCATTTTTATTTATTATTATTATTATTTTTTATTTTATGTTGTGTGTTTTAAATTAATGTAACCTTTGTTTTATTGAATAAAAAACTAATTTTAAAAAAATATATGTTTTATTGTGTTTGTGAATTAAATTTAAATAAAAAAACTAATTTAAAAAAAATATATGTTTTATTGAATAAAAAAATATGTTTTATTGAATAAAAAACTAATTTAAAAAAATATGTTTTATCGTGTTTTAATTTATTTTTGAATTAAATTTAAATAAAAAAATGAGTGGAGTGGTGTGTTTAGTGGTAAGTATTCCATAGTTAATGGTAGAGAATGTGGTGCTGATGTGGCAACCCACCACATATGTGATATGTGGTGGGTATAACGGATGGTCTAATAGTATTCAGAACTCGAGGACGTGTAACATCGTCGTCCAATAGAATAGGGTCTCATCATGGTATAATTAGTAACTTAAAGGAACAAGCTTGCGATTCTGGATGTAATTCGGCAGAAATTTTCATTTACAGGTAACCAACATTTAGTTGCCACGTCACCGTAGTTAGAGATCTCGGTCAAATTGTTGACTCTTTCTACCCAAGCAGTACTCCACGTACGCGTATTTGCTGGAAAAAAAACGTTGCCTCTGACGTGGCACGTTTATATTAATTTTCATTTCTGGTTTCAAAATGCGTCATACACGTGGACACATTTAATATGTTAATTTAAGGTTTTCTAAAAATAATAATAATTAATATGTATATTTTTAATTTTTTTATTTAACAAAAAAGTTTCGATTATTTAATTTTTTAAATAAAAAAGTCTAAAAAACCGTCTAAATTCATTTTAGTTATTTTTGACATTTTAGCGGGTCATGAAACTAAATTGTTAATTTTTCTAAAATAATGAGATTTTTTTGCAAATTTTCTCAAAAATTGTATATAAATATATAATCGTATTTTTTTACGTATTTATATGTATTTTTTCATATTTATGTACTTTTTTAAGTTTATATATATATATATATATATATATATATATATATATATATATATATATATATATATATATAAACTTAAAAAAGTACATAAATATGAAAAAAATACATATAAATATATATATATATATATATATATATATATATATATATATATATATAAACTTAAAAAATTACATAAATATGTAAAAAATACATATAAATACATAAAAATATGTTTATATATATATATATATATATATATATATATATATATATATATATAAACTTAGAAAAATACATATAAATACGTAAAAAAATGTTTATATATAATATACATATTTTGAAGAAATCTGTAGAAAATTCTCATTATTTTGGAAAAATTAACGATTTAGTCCCATAAAAAAGGTTAAAGTGAATACATTAGTCGATTTATTGGGCTTTTCTATATAAAATGTTAAATAATTGAGACTTTTCTATTAAAAAAAATTAAGAGTTTATCAAAATTTTCCCAAAATAATAAGATTTTACTATAGAAAGACCTTAATTTAATAGTTGATGTTTTCAACTTTTATAAAAACTCACTATATTATAATTTTAATTGGTATTACTCTTTAGTAAAAAAAATAATATAAAATCCAGTATATTTCAAATGATTGTTAGGATATTTGATTCGATTTTTAATAACTTATTAAAATGAAAATTGAATTAAAGATCAATTTGTAACATAAATTAGGTGAAAACCCGTGTGTTACGCAACTGATAAATTAAAATAATATAAAAACATAATAAGAAATAAATATTTAAACAAATTGATGATCACATATCTTAATATTATAAATACTATTAATTGTTAAAAAGTTGGTGAACAGTAATCTTTTAGGATTTAAATTTCTGCCACAAATTTTTCTGAGTTTTAAACATTTGCCACAACGCTTGCTTTCTTATTTTTGCCACGGAACAATTTCCCCTTTTCACTTGCCCACTAAAACTTCTATTTTTTTATTTTCTGCCACAAACCGCCTTATAATTTTGTTATCGTTATCTTCTATCCTTCACTTGCGATTGCCGCCTTCGCTGCCCATCCTTCTCTAATTCTCTTTCTCTGTCTTTTTTTTTTTACAATTTTTCCTGCGATTCTCTCTTCTTCTGTTCTTACGCCTCTGTGTTTCTTCTTTAGGTATGTATAATTCCTCTTATACAATTATTTGATGTCACGAATTTTGTCTGGCAAGCGTCGCTTCTCTCGCCGTTTAGCTGCGATTATTCCTCCTGAGATGCGATGTTCACCTGTTTCTAATAACTGTTTGATTTTGCCTGCCTATGATGATGTTGGTGATTGTATTTTTATTTGTAAGTCATGTTTAGCTCTTTTCTGGTTTGATGAAAGGGTTCAGTATTTATCACGTCTAGATTGTCCTGCTTATACCCGTTGTTGTAGGTCTGGCTCTGTTGTCCTGCCGTAGCTAATGAAATCATCATTTGTTGTTTTAAATTTTTAAATTTTTTTTTTCAGATGGAGAATCTGGTGGTATTCAGGGAAAAGAAGTTTCCACTAAAAGGAAATTGGATTTGGTATATTCCGGTAAAGGACCAAATCAGAATATGAGGTATTGATAGACTGGTTATGCTTCAACAAGACCAAAAAATGAATTATTTACTCTTTGTATAACAGAAGACTTCTCATGAAGCTACTTATGTTCGATTGGAAATTAGAGCTGTTTTTGAATTTGGAGAAATTAATTAAGATAAACTTAAATTTATATAAGGTATTAATGTATTATAACAGTTATAGCATGTTAATTTGAGATCGTTAATGCTGATGGAGGTGATTGCATCCAGAATAGGGCACGACTATAATTTGGCTTCAAGAAAAGCCCAACAAGCAGGTATATATATAAATTTATATATGGTTTTTATAATTTTTTCCTAGCTTGGAGGAGGTCTGAAGGTACAGAATGGCTTGAGAATATAAGTCAGTTCATTCATAAGTCTGTTAATTTGAAAGCAAAGTTATCGTCAGTTGGATCAAGCAATCCATGGGAACTTAATATAGCCTCACCAACTGATGGTTGGCTTTATCGTACCAGGGAAGGCCATTCTAACATAAATTCCTCATTTTGATTGGACAGGGTATATTGTTTTAGATAAAGTTTCATATTCTTTTTAACACATTCCTCAGTTTTATCTGAATTTTCTTTTTCATATGTCCTTATATTTTTGGAGACCATTAAGGCCTTATCCCATATCAACAAAACCTGTAATACCTGCAGTAATTGAGCTACCTGATTGGGCAGTTGATGTAAGTCATTGACAATCATGATATGTTTGCAGACTTTTTAAATTATTTAGATGTATTTTTCTTATGATATTAAATGCGTAACTTTGTGACAAACTCCAAAAATCGAGCCCAATAGTTATATGTGACATGTTGTTGAGGTTATCATTTTTTTTATTATGTCGGAGAACTTTTTCCTTTATTTTTTAATCTAATGGTGTTCTCAAATGCATAGATTGCATTTTGCTTTTTTTGAAAGGAAAGGTATCAAAATTTTAACATATGCATAGCAAATTTTTTAATAAAGTTTAATAAGTTTATTAATTATAATGTTATTATGTGATTCCAGGTTATATATTTTGAGCTCCCAATTCAAGTTAAAGTGACTGGTTGAGGTTGATCCTGGTTTCAAAGGCGACACATCTTAAGGTATTCATCCTCTTTATGAGAGTTAATTTTCAGAAATACCCTTGACTGGTTGATAAAGAAAAGGGGACATTTTGTGGAATTGAAACAATAACAAATGTGGTTTTTTTTTTGAAATTTTTTCTCAAAAGTGCAAGTTTTTTATTATATTGCTAATGAACATGTTGGCATGATGATTTGCTAAAATTAATGACTTTGAAAAAATAAACTGATAATATATTTCTGTGACATCCCCTAATTTCTCGGCCAGAAAAGACCAATTTAATTTATGCTTTTTAAAATAAAATCAGAGAAATCTTTTCAAAAGATGTTGCGGAATAGGTCCCCAAAATAAAACATGATAAAAGTTTATCAAAACCCTTCTTTAAGAAGGTATATATTTTCCATATATATCAAAACCTCGGGATGTCATGTTCCGATACAGATCAAAAGCATAAACAAGACATTATAAGCCTTTCAATAGTTATTTACAACTACTGGCCTATAATCCAAAAATTTCTCATCGTCCTCCGACTATGCTCGGGGTCCACTACCTGTAATCATAAAAAGCTGAGTGGGTCAGGCTTGGGAGCCTGGTGAACATATAGGGTTTTCAACCCACAATAATAATAACTTATTAAGTTCACCAATCAACAATAACCCTGATTACCCATTCCCGTTGTACTCACTTTACGTCCCTAAACACCTATCACAAGGGACTTAGCCTAAGGAATATCATCGGGTTGGACACTACTGCTAAGGGGACTCCTCAGCCATACATGTCCTAAAGGCAACCATGAGGGGGATTGGAGTACACCAATGAACATTTAGTTCATCAACACCTACAAGTTGCGAACTTGCTAGTGTACCACTGGACTGTCTGGAAAGGTCCGTGATCGTCATCTATACTCCGCTAGACGACTACAACAACACCAACAACAACACCGACACCGAGGCCTCTCATCATTTTAACACCCACCGACTATTTTGTCTACCCATGTTCTACCCAACATATTTGTAGATAACATACATATACAGTTTAAAACTTGTATAAAACATCAATTCAACAGTCACCACAAATAAACAATTAACATATTTACACATAACACGTATTTTAAGGTAAATACTTCATATCTATGTGTAAATTGAAAGTAACTACACACTCACATGATTTGATGATAATCGGGCAGCAATTCTTTCCTAAAACGTTCGTTTCTAATAAAACCGGGAGTTTTATTGAGAAACCGGGCTCTGCAAAGGTCGGGCTTCGAAACCGAAAAGATAAATTTTTCGGGCTTCACGGGCACTTCGTGGCGTATTCCGGGGCTTATAATCGATACCGGGGCTTTGGGGGATGTTAAGATGAAGAAAATATGAAGAAAGGGGTGAAAGATGGTGATTTTCTAAATGTATCCGAGAAGGCTCACAGCCTTCTATTTATAGGGGCCGAAGCTCCTGATCCGACGGCTGAGAAGCCTCCAGGTGGCGAAGATCCGAAGCTCGCAGGGGAAGGCTCGCACATGGGCTACGCGTGCGAGGGGGCTGCTGGCAGTTCCTGATTGGACCGAAGTCCGAATCTGAGGAGGGGGTGTCCGTGGCTTCATGCGAGGGCTCGGTCACGTGAAGGAGGGTACGTGTTGCCTTCTCAGTGGACCACTTCGGATCAGGCCAGGAGCTCGGATGACTCAGTAGCTCGGACACATGGCTCGCATGACTCACCAATTTCGGACACGTGGCACGTTCTAAGTGAGGGTGACGTGGCCGAAGCCACCTATGCGAATTTTCTCGGTTTTTGTGCAAAAACTTCTAAAATCCATAACTTTCGCATACGAGCTCCGTTTTTGACGTTCTTTATATGCACGCGTAGGTAAAATTACGCTCTACAACTTTCGTTTAGACTTCGTCGGCTAATTTTGACTTTAATTTTTAAATTATTATTTTTAACAGACCGGGACAGGAAATCCGTTAAAAATTCATAACTTCTTCATCCGACGTCCGTTTTCGTCAGACTTTTTACCATTGTGCTACTATTTACGAGACCTTCGATTATCGTTTAGTTCGTGTCGGCTAAAAATCACTCGATCTAAAATTCGAGTTTTTAGCTGTCTACTGCTAAGCAGAAACTTCGAAAAATCATAACTTCCTCATACAAAGTCAGATTTTGGCGTTCTTTTTATACCTACTCTCGGTTTAACGAACACTACAAGTTTCGTTTAGATCACTAAGGCTAAAAAGTAGTTTATCAAAAACTCACTTTTTACGACATTCAGCACCGAGCCGGTTTTGTCGTGAAACTTCGACAGGTCATAACTACTTCGTTATAACTCGGATTTCGTCATTCTTTATAGATCCGTAATCCTTGTCACGACCACTACAACTTTCTTAATAGATATCGGTTTTATCCAAAATTTATTTTCGACGCTCATTTTTATTCTTAATTAATTAACTCCTAGTAATTAAGCATAAAACATATAAAACACATAGAATTCACATAATTCCTTTTTCATTTCTTCAAAATGAGTTACAAATGTTAACCTAGACTATCACCTTAATATTAATGCCTAGGCTAGAAACACGAGTGTTACAATTTCTTTTTCACAACATACTGTTTAGAAAAAATGACTGAAGTGGGCATCATCACACATTTGGCAAGATACATCATGTTTTCTCCCTAAATATGTATTATCATTTTTATTTGTTCCTCGGAATTCATAACCAAATCTACTTGGAAATGTATTGTCTTTTTTTATTCGAGAAAATTATTTGAAAATGTATTACTCTTTTTTGCTTTGTTTTTTTTTTTTTTTTGGATTTCATTGAAAATATTAAATATCATTTTTTCATTTTGAGAAAATGAGTGAACTGAAGTTCACCTCAGTTTTGTTTGAATCTATTTTTGATTTTAATTTAACTTTTTTCCTTTATTTTTGAACATATTATATTTGAAATGTTAACATATCATTTGAAAAAGGAAAAGGTAGTGAGTTTAATCAAACAAAAATCTTGAAATTTATTCACTTTTTTTAAATATAAATTTCTTTATCATTTATTTTTTCTTTCAGTTAGGTGAACCCCCCTGCAGCTTCTAATTTGGGTACACCTTTATGTAATCCTGAAAATGATCCAACAATTTATGGAGATTGCTGGTATAATTACACTTGAGATGATATAGCAGGGGAGGATAAAAGGCATGGCCTTCGAATGATACTTTTCAGATTCACATTTTCCTTCTTGGGTTTTGTGTTATTTGCATGTTATTGTGTTAAGGGTATAATCGTCTTTTTCATATTTCATGTTGATCAGGCTTTAGGGCAGACATCAGATTGGTTTAGAAGAATGTGTTGTCTTGTACTTTACAAAAGACGAAATTTCCAACTTCTTTGAATAATATGTGATACTGAAAGTTGCCAGAGGAAGAATAAGTACACACATAGTGGGACTGGTGCTTCTTCTCAATCAAAAAACAAACCTGATGATGATCTTTTTTGGGGTCCTTTGGATCACTCGAAACAAGAAGTAAAAAAGTATGTTTATTTTATTGTATATGTGTTTTTATTTTATTATTTATATTTTATGGAAGTGTGTTTGATGTGTTTGTGGTTGTGATGCAGGGCTGATTTTCCTCAACTTGCAAATCAAGGGAGTTGGCCTAAGAACACTCCTGGAAAAGGAGCCACTATGAGTCGACAGAAATCTGGGAGTGGAAGAGCTGTTGAAGCTTCTCTTTCATCATCTCCTTCATTGAAAGGGAAAAGAAATGTGATGGCTAAACATTCAGGTAAACTTCCTTCACTTAAAGGAATAGCAATTTGCTTTGTATATATCATCCTCCTTACCATTCTTCTCTCTATACCATTAATTCTTTACTTGTGTTTTTGCATAGGCAATGGACTTCAGAGATTGGTGCAAAAATGAATGTGTCAGGCTTCTTGGATCCAAAGGCCTCCTGTATGTCGAATATGTCTTCATTAATATAATATTATGTTCTACTACATGATACAACTTGAAACAAGAGAAAATAAACTAACACAGCGCCAAAGGCGCGCATGATTCCCCACTAGTTTATCATTAATTGTAGTAATTTGTCATCATATTATCTCATTTTTTTATATTTGTGATCACATATCTCATTATTTTATTTCTTATATATATATATATATATATATATATATATATATATATATATATATATATATAGGCTTAGGTTATTCTATTCAAACTAATTATTGTGTTATTGTATGCATAAATGTGGGCCAATCAAATTTACTTATTTTAAGAAAGTGATTAATATATATTATTGAATTAAATATAATTGAAAATATCATCTTAATTAATTACAAAGGTAATTTAGTCAATTAATATAGATTTAATAAAGGAAAATTGCATTTTTAAAGGGATCATAGATTCTATTAATTTTAAAAATCCGATTTTACGAATTATAATTCTTTTAATTCGGACATTCTGACAGAATATGTTTATGAGTATATTCAAAAATAAAAATATTGTTGAACCATAAATAATAAAAATATTCTTGAACCTATTTCTTGATCATGAATTTAAAAACTTCTAGTAGAATAACAAATTCTTGAACAATCAATTGAAGAATAAAAACAAAAAATACATTATTTCTTATAGAATACGGGTAACAATTGTTAAGAATTACATTTATTGTTAAAGAATAAAACTAAAAAACAATCAAAACGGGAAAGAAAACATTAAAATCTAACAACGACTAATACATTCTAAAAGAATAATGTGGTCCATTTCAATTTTGTGGTCTGTTCTTCAAGCATCAACTTCTGTGATTCCAACAAAATTGGAATTCGTCATTCCATTCCAACAGAATTGGAATTCGTGATTCTATTCCAATAGAATTGGAATCTCACCAATATCATCCATTGAATCATCTACATAAACATACTTGATACCTTTTCAGAATTCAACCTTGTCAAGATCCTGCAGTGTCCACATAAATGAAGTGTTAAATTAGGAAAAAAAATTCAAATGAAAAGCAAATTAATCATTTCCTGTCAAAAGAATCAGAAAAAAAGACAAGCTATGTAGATGATCAAACCTTTGCAAATTAAGGGTCCATACGATAGGAAGAAGCTAAATCAGATAGGAAGAAGCTAAATCTGATAGGAAGAAGCTAAATCAGAATTTTATAAGGGAATCCATGGTTGTTATTGATGACAAAAACTTTGTTCTTGAGCAATTAAGTAAACGCAGAACAATAAAAAAAAATCTTGGTTCTAAAAGTTTGGATTATGTTGCTGTGAAATCAGTACTTCAAGATTCTTCTTCAACTTTTGGGGATGAAATAAAAAAGGGAAAGTTTAGGGGTTTGGTTCCAATCAAGTTAGAGGAGAAATTCAGAGAAACTGTTTCTGATTCCAATTCAGATTCTGATTCCAACTCTCAAATTCCATTGAATTGGCATTCAAAATCAATGAGATCGAAGATAATACCAGATGAAACTTCTCATTTTACAAAACCTTCTGTTGGGATTCTTGACTTAAGATCACAATCAATGAGAGTTTCCACGCCAACCCAGATGAGGAATTCTGCAGATAACAAAGAATCGAAAGGAGAAACATCATTCACAGAATATAAACCTCGAGAATTTAGCTTTGATTCTTCTTCTGAGATGAAATCATAAAAACACAAATTTCTCTTGATTTTATCAGAATATCAACATCAAAATCAAAAATTCGAAATAATGCAACACCCGAAACAACAGATTTCGATCGGAAGACATTGATAAATAAAGGAAGAAATAGAGGTGGATCCGGAGGGAATACCTTGGACGCAATGATATGCGTGTGTGATTGGGACCAACGACTGATTGGAAGCAGAGAATGGCCACAATGATCGGAAGTATCAGGGAGGGAAGGCTGGCTCGATTGTGAATGGAGGGATGAAGACGATTTGTGGAAGACGATGAAGACGATGACCTGCTGTATATAAAAAAAAGAAATTAGGTTACAAGTGAATGTTAGCGTGATTACAGGGACTATTTGTGGAAGCTATTTATCAAATTACTAAAATACCCTTGTTTATTTATTTAATTATTTAAATTTTTATTTAATTATGATTGGCCTACATTTATGCATACAATAACACAATAATTACTTTAAACATTTGAACCTCTCTCTCTCTCTCTCTCTCTATATATATATATATATATATATATATATATATATATATATATAAATTTTAAGTTCCTTTAGGAACAGTACATAACCACGATACTGTTCATAAGGGTTAGTTTACTCTACCATGGTCGCCGCCTCATGTAGAGTTCGAAGTATGTTGTGAGGTGTCGAAGTGCAGTTGGGTCTGATTAGTTTCGAAGTCTGTATTTTGTATTTCGAATATATGTATTACATAAGGCAATGTTTAGAGCTCGAAGCAAGAATGTCTAGTCGTTATGTTTTTTTGTTCGTGTCTGTATGACCCAATAAATAGGGGTAGGTATAAGGGTGAGGGTAATTTTTGTATTCTGGAGAGAATGAGAGCACTTTACTCTTTTAGAACCCTTGTATTCTTACATATACAATCAAAGATCCAAAAAGATCTTATTTACGTTCTTGTTCTTAATTCATTCAGTATTCTGATTTTGTTCTTAACACTCGATTCATACGAACTACATTTTGTATTAGAGCAGGATTCCTTCAGTTGTTTTATGGTTTTCTTGTGTTTTCAAAAGTTTTGAATCGCTATTTTCGATTCAGAAGTATTCCACACTTTTGATTTAGAAAACCTGATCTAATCAATTGATTTGATTCGATTCTGCGTTTTGTTTGACAAATCGAGAGTTCTCTGATCTTTTTCCTGTAAGAATCGTCTGTTAGATTCCATTTTCTGAAGCTTTTCATTATTTCATCCGTACAACAATGGTGAACTTTAACATGAATACCATGACTGGTTTCACTCATCTTCTCGGTTCTTCTACCAAAATTCCGATGCTAATTCCTGAATATTACGAGCAATAGGCGGATAGAATGGAAGATTATCTCAATAGGATTGATGAAGATCTTTGGCACTATATTACGAGTGGAGATTACCATCCAGAAAGGCTGGAATAGATAGGAACAACAGGTTCTTCTGCTGATATTGGTGTGCTAACTGACAAACATAAAACAAATGCTAAGAGGTGTATGCGTGAACTTTGTAGTGCTCTTCCACCAGTGATTTACAATTATGTTTGAGGTTGCAAATCAACAAAAAAGATCTAGTATACTTTGAAAGTGAAGTATCAAGGAAGCGAGAAGACGAGGAAAAGTTCTGTTAAGCACTGTCTACTTGAATTGGGTGAATTCAAGCAAAAGGACGGTGAAACAATCGAACTTTATTACGATCGTCTAAACGAGTTGATCTTTAAATGCAATCGTTATGGAGTCATACGTTCTACTCTCGAGTACAATCTCACTTTCTTAATGGGACTTCGAAAGGAATGGAGAAATATTAGCTTGATGATCAAGACTCAACAAAGCTTCGACAACTACTCGTTGGGAGATCTCTATAATGTTCTAAAACCTCATGAGAGTGAAATCAACGAGATTATTGAAGAGGGAAAAATGAATATGAGAGGCCCTCTTGCGTTGATTTCGAAGGTGTCTAGAAAAGATTCTGAGGTCGAGTATGCTGAGATTGTTGGTTCTGATGATGACGGTTTTCTTATGAATTCGGAAGATGAAGCTGTGGCGTATTATTCCAACAACAAAGTCAAGAAGTTCTATAAGAAGCCATTTAATTCGAAGTTCAAAGGAAACAATGATTTCAAGGGAAATTCATCTTCTGGGAAGAATGCTAGAGAAGAATCGAAGGTTGAGAAGAAGGAGAGTAAGACTGCTGCTGAGAAGGTGGAGAAGAAACTGAAAAGAGATTCTGGTTTCGACTACAATTACTACAATGGTTCGAATCATTTGGCAGCTGATTGTATGCTTAGGAAGAAATAGGAGAAGAAGGAAAGAGTGAAGGATGAGCATACTATGTTGAAAAGTTGGAGGAAGTAAGAGCTAGGACAAAGGGAATGTCATTCTTTGCAAAGGGAAGTGGTGTTGGGGATGGAACCTATCAAATCTGGTCGTCTGGTTCCGATGACGAGGAAATGAGGAACCCTACACACGGTTCAATGTACGCAAGGTTTGAAGAAGAAAGTTCTGATGAGGAGAAGGTAACTGGAAAGTGCTTCATGTAGAATGGAGCAGAAAAATCTCCAATGACTTCAAATGTACGTTCTCTTCTTGAATCCTTTTATATTCCTTTTAGTTCTTATAATACTGTTTTATCTGACTTTGATGATACTATATATTATGTTAATGACATGCTTATTTCTGTTAGTAGCGAAGCTGAAAAATCAAAATCTTTGTTGCCAGAATCACAGAAACATTTGGGGACAAAGAGGAGTAGAGTAGATAATCTAGAATTGCAATTGAAAAACATTACTCTAGATAGGGATGTTGTTAGAGCAGACAATTGTGTTTTAATGAAACAACGTAATATTTATTGCAATAGTGCAAAACGATTGTATGCTCAACTAACAGATCTTCATCATTCCTATGATATTAGTAAAGAACAACATAGGAAACTATTGCCCTTTTTGGTTTCCAAAAGGGAGAAAATAGATTCGATTTCCTATGATTGTGAGAAAAAGATCTCTGAATTTGATAAAGTCCCAAATGATTCTTATGCATATAGAATTGTTAAAATAGATGAATGTTTACATGCTAATGATTTGGTACATATTGTGAATGAGACCTTGACTAAGACTGAACAAATCAAAATTTTGAAAAAGATTGAGAATTTGACATTTGACTCTCAACACAATTTTGCTGATATTGAAGATGATTATGATAATATCAGTGGGAATGAGGAAGAGGAAACTGTTGTCTGTTCTCAGTTATCTGTCA